ATTATTATTATTATTATTATTATTGTTATTACTATTATTACATGCTGTATGCTGTAAGTGTACAGTACATAATTTCCTTATCCTGGAAGGCCATGAAATTGCCTGGCTGATTTTTCATGGATTTTTTTTAGGTCAGAGACCTGGGGGTCTGGCTGTACTYAAAAGAGGTGATAGGTTTATCTACTACTTGGTGAGTCACGTAATGTACCTAAAATGTGTAATACATATTATATTTTGTCAACACTTTAGACTCAGCTATTAAGTTCCGTTTTTATTTTTTGTTTGTCAGTTTACCTGCAAGTCTCATATTCTTTAATTTTTCCATGTTTCTAGTCATTGTATAGTCAAAGTGTTTGGCATTGCTATTCTTTAACTTATTTTGAATGATGGATTAAACCAGCAAGCAGTGGGGGCACACTTTTCGTTTCTATATCATTCTTTGTTTTTTATTATGGAGGTATTCGTATGTGCGATGGAAATCCCTAACCTCCTGCTAGACAGAAGTCAGTAAGAAAACCACTGACTGAGGAGAAAGTACATGTTCACACATCATTAATAGCACCCTAAATTTTTACATCACATTAAATAACCACCTTAAGATTGAAAAGAGCCACCCTAGTTCTCCTAGGGGAAGTATATAAACGGCAATCCTTATATCATGGTCAACTTARTGATAACAATAAAATGTTGAAATTTCTAATTATTTACCAGGTCACTAAAGAAAAGTATTGGGAGAAACCAACTTACGATACATTGTGGAGTTCGCTGAGAAAGATGAGGGATCACAACAAAGACAATGGGGTAACAAATATCTGTATGCCGAAGATAGGGTGTGGTCTTGACCGGTTAAAGTGGCATGTAGTGCTAAAAATGATTCAAGATATTTATTCGGATTTAGATATCCAAATAACTATTTACCATTATGAAGATGATAAGAAAGGAGCAGGCAAGGAAAGAGCAAACCCAAGGAATTCTGGTGGTCATGAGCAAGCTTGGTCAAGAGGTCAGTCTTCAAGCCGTCGTAATAGGCCTGGAAACGGACCTGGATCTGAAACAAGACATTCAAGTGCGCCTCACGGACAATCGTTTCAAAGAGAAGGACATTTTCGTCAAGCGGGGTCAGCAAAACAGCCTTTGCGTACAGAAGACAATCGAGAATATGGACCAGCACCTCCATATCATTCTCAGAAAGGAAATGGAAGACAAACAAATATTCCCGATTTTGCAAGGAGCCAAACAGCTTCTTGTACAGGAAAAGAGACATACCAGGAAGAGTTTCCAGGTCTTAACGCAGGAAAAAGTATACGGCAAGACGAAGAAACCTGTAGAGAGAACGATAAAGATCTTGCAAGAAGAGACCTGCAAAAACAGGAGTCAAAACATATAAGCAAAACAAAACTGACTGCTGCTAGTTTTCCCGTGAAGATAAACAGAGAATCCTACCAGTCAGGTCGGCATGGTCACGATGGTTATGAGAGGTCAGAGGTTGAAAGAAAGGGAAATGATGGTGTAAGAAAGGACAAAAGAGAGGACGATGACGATACAAGAAAAGTTGATGGTCAAAGTAAAAGACAGGAGAAAGGAAGGGATAGTGACCAACGTCAAAAACTCGAGAGCGGAAACCAAAAGGCAAGTAAGAAGAGTAGACATAATGAAAACTACCGAAAGAGAAAGGATGATGACGAGGGTCAGAAGACGAGAGGTGGCAGCAAAGAACGAAGAAAGGAAAGCCATGATGGTGTAAGAAAGGAAAAAAGAGATGACGATGACGATGCAAGAAAAGTTGATGGCCAAAGTAAAAGACAGGAGAAAGGAAGGGATAATGACCAACATCAAAAACTCGAGAGTGGAAACCAAGAGACAAGTAAGAATGGTAGACATGATGAATATGGGAAAAGAAAGGATGATGACGAGGGTCAGAAGACAAGAGATGGCAGCAAAGAACGAAGTAAGGAAAACCATGATGGTGTAAGAAAGGACAAAAGAGAGGACGATGACGATGCAAGAAAAGTTGATGAAAATCAAGACAAGCATAGCAAAAGCCAAACCTACACCAAAATAGATGATCTTTCACAAGATAAAAGTGAAACAGAAAAAGAACAAGGGAATAAGATGAATATCAAAGAAGGCAAATACAAAGAAGACGACAAAATTAGTGGCACTCAAAACCAATCTCACTCAGAATGCAAGAATTCAGACGATGTAAGTTTAGCATCAGCTAATGAAAGTGCAGTGCAAACTCTACCAAGTCATGAAGGAGATTGTGAAGATGACGGGGAACACCCAAGTGGATCACATGATGACGTGAAACGATCAAAGAAAAAGAAAAAGAAGAAAAAAAAGAAAAAGAAAAAGTCGAGTGAATAATACTGATATTGTAAAGTTAAGAAGGTCACGCTTGGATTGTAAAACTAACCAGCAAGGAATGACTTTCATTTAAGAATTTACTACATTTATTGATTTCAGTTTCTTACGAAGTCGTGATTTCGTACACTTTTCTTGATTTGTTGTGGCGTCCCGACTAATTTTTTTCTACAACTTTTATTACAATTATTAGAGTCTTCCGATTTAGAGATATTGTAGGGCAAAGTAGGCAAAGCTAATCTTGCATTGCTGTTGGGGTAACCTTGCTGGCTGGAGTCATAGTTCCAACTCACATTAGCTACCGTTGCTATGTCCCACAAGCTCAGCAATTAGCTAGAATATCTCCGAATTTAAAACCCTGCTATTGAAAAATTGATTATAAACTGGTTCAATGGACTAAATCCACTTGGGCGTAAAGATTTGCCAATTTCAGACCATGTGTCACTCTCTAGAGAATAAGATTCTTTGAGTCGTACAGAATGTATACCATATATCCGTGAAAAAGTTTGTAAGAAATTAGTATAAGTTCAGTAGACTTCAGTAAACCGTAGACCTACAAAATTTTGCACTAATTTGTACAATTTTGTTAAGTAACTCTCTTACGGATATATGGTGTGCACTCATGTGTCTTCTCATGTACAAACGTTAAACAAAGAAATAATACTGTAGAGAATGACCCGTGGTCTAAAATGGGAAAACAGTGGATTAGGTCTATTTACTATCCTGTGCAAATAGACTACAAGAGAATTGTCTCGTAATCTCTGCAGTGCTCTTTAAAACAGATACGGTGAAACTATTTAGTATTTAATGTCAAAATTTTTAGTACAAAGTTTTGTAGGTCTATTGTCTTCTAGAGTGACCACAGTAAATCCGTGAAGCTTTAGTAATACTAAATAGCACAATTTCTTGCAAATTCCATTGTTTTCTATTGTTTGACTAGCACTATTTTGTACTATTTAGTAATTAGTGTTTCACGGATATACTGTGGCCACTCTAAAGTCTACTGAAATTACAATTTTTTGCACATTTGCGCTATTTCTTACAAAGTTTTTCACGGATGTATGCACACTTTGACCTGGGGTAATTAAATTACGTCATCGGTTTTTGCGTCACTAGTCGTTGCCAAAAATACTCTTCAAGGACACAAACGAGTAAGAGCAGTTTTTGCATGATTGTGAAGAGCTCAGTTCCGTAAGCTTGCTTTGTCGTGACTGATTGGCTGATTTTTTTTCTTGCGCAATGTGATTGGTTAGGCACTGCCGTGACCTTGACGTGACCTTGTCCGTCCGTATTTGATTGAATGGAGAGTAAATTCTCGAGCAATGTGATTGGTCTAGCGTTTCCCTTGCCACTATTTTCGAGACATTGGTTCTCTGGTCAAACACAAAGCGCTCAAGCRAGGCGCTAAGGTACTTTTAAAGGATTATGCAAATTTGAACTTTGCAAACCCGACTGAATGCTTTGTGTTTGTCCAGTGAACCGTGTATGGAAAATGGTGAATGTTACACTAATGAGGATACTGAAGATTTGGATAGCGACGAAGAAACTGACATTGTTACTCATGCGATAGGAATTACTGATAGTGAGGAAAACGATGACAGAGAATGAAGAAGTCGAAACAGTCAATGTTACAATAAGTGGTAGACGTGTGTAACCAAGAAAATTTTGGTCGATCTTCGTCCTGTCCTCGAGCCCAGCACTCCCACTTTGTTACGCTTAGCTGAACTTGTTCTTACTCTTAATTGTTTTTCTTTCGGTGATCGGTATTATCGGCAGGTAAACGGTGTTGCTATGGGTACTAAGATGGGCCCTAGTTATGCCAAATTGTTTGTTGGTTATATCGAAAACCTTGTTTTTCAACAATATGCTGGACCCAAACCTGAGTTTTTTGGACGGTATATTGATGATTGTATTGGTGCTACTTCTTGTTCGCGTAATGACTTAGATTCTTTCATCTCTTTTGTTAACTCTTTTCACCCTGCCTTAGACTTTACGTGGGAGGTTAGTGAAACA